TTTTTTTTGTCTTAGAAAGCATTGTACTCTAGTATTATTCTTTGCAGTATTCTTCATTAAGTACTGTGCTAAATAACTATGCAACTGATAAAAGGTTTTCCTTGAGAAGATGAAATATGCCAGAAATGTATCTTTTACAGTAAACAAAAGTCTGAATATTAGTAAAATCCAATTCTGCCTTGCTTTTATAGATATTGTCAAAGGAAAACTGCTAATTTTAATGGAAGCCAGATTATCAGCACTTTATAAAATGGAGAATGAATATGAAGTCCTTGAAAGGTGAATAAACAAGTTTGTTGTTGGTGGTGGGGGTGTGTGTGTGTGTCTACTTAACTTTAAAAAAATGTTAAAAGCTATAATATCCTAAAGTTATGTTGGTCAGGTTTCATTTCAAAGTATTCAGTCATTTGTTCCAATATTGAATGCATTGATTAAGCAGGCAATCCAGACAGAATGATGTTACCTGGATATGACTGTAGTTTATTTTTAAATTTTAAGTTAACTCTAAGTGGGACTTTTTCCCCCTAGATTTCCTGGCTCCTATCTCAAAGGCAAGAAGTACAGGCCACTGTTTGACTACTTTGTGAAGGTAAAATTGAACTGCAGCTTCAGTGGCTTCTCAATGTATTTCTAAATAAATGACATATAATGAGTGCTTATATTTTTTTTACTGGTTATCTTGATGGTATGAATGTTCTTTTATTCAAAAGTCTGTTTAAATATTAATGAAATGAAATCCTGGCTTGTTTTTCATAAGGAATCACTTTACATTTGATTAAATTTACAATCAGCCTTGTAATCTTTATGGAAAATGAATTAAAAGAGAATACCATTTTGTTTAACTTTTTGAAGCCCCTCATGTACGTGTATATTTTTATTATTGATTAATTGTCACACATTGAATTTATTGAGGCTCTTTATGTGTTTTAAAAACAAACACTCTCAGAATTAAACATGCAAGGCCATATAGAGTTCATTTAAAATGAGATGAAGTGGGTGTTTAAATCTAGGTACAATAAGCTCACATACTTGTAACACCTCAATGTTTTAAAGAGTTCTAAAGTTGTTTTATGACTTTAGTATTAGGTGCTTTCTATTCAGTTCTGACTCATAAACATTTGTACAGCAGAACCAAATACTTCCTGGTTCTGGACCATCCTTACGATTGTTCTTATGTTTGAGCCCATTATTGCAGCCACTGGGTCAATTCATCTTATGGAGAACCTTTCTCATTTTCACCACACCTCTATCTTTCCAAGTATGACATCTTTTTCCAGGGCCTGGTCTCTGCTGACAACATGTCCAAAGTATGTGAAGCAAAGTCTTGCCATCTTTCCCACTAGGCAGCATTCTGGCTGTATGTCTTTAAAGACAAGCTTATTTTTTTGGCAGTACCACAATTCAAATGCATTGATTCTTCTTCGGTCTTCCCTTATTCATTGTTCAAATCACATGCGTATGAGACAATTGGCATTACCATGGCTTGTGTCATGTATACCTTAGTCTTTAAAGTAACATTCTTTTCTCTTCAACAGTTTATTATTGTGTCCTCCTCTGGTATGCCAATAATTCTAATGTTAGTCCGCTTCATAGCATCAGACATAGCTCTTAGATTTTCTTCAGCTTCTCTGATGATATTAGATTCTTGTTCGCGTTTGTTGAAGTGTGCTTGCCTGTCCTCCAAGTCACTGATG